TTACCTGGAAGGGATGATGCATTTCATTTGCCTCTGAACGTGCCCTGAAATTAAGGAACCTGAGCTCCAAAAAAGTTCATGAGGAAAATAAAGTTCCCAGAAAAAGTAATGTGTCTGTCAGCTTCAGAAATCAATAATGCCCATTTGTTGAAAATGTTATTCTGTTAAAATTACCAACTCTTTCCATAGCTGGTGTTAAGAAGGCGTTGGATTTGTGCTTGAATATTAAAAACCAGCTCTGTGAGAGAGTTGAGTGTCAGAAGCAGCTGAATGCCTGCTCTGGTGGTTCCTCAGGTAAGGTGTTTAAGGCAGACGTGCAAGAAATGCAATGTTTTAGATCCTAGGTGATACTTTTCTCCTTTCCCCACAGGCATCTTTGCTTACCTGAACTACCATGTGCCCCGGACGAGGCGGGAGATTCTGGAGACCCTCATCAAGGGGCTGCAGCGCCTGGAGTACCGGGGCTATGACTCTGCAGGTACCTCCGAGCTCTGCTGCACTCTGGGCTGCTCTGGGGCTTCTCCTGCTGTCGTTGAGAGCTTCCTGCCACCTCCTGCTGCTCAGGAAAGCTTGGATGTGCCCGTGCTCAGAGATTGGGATTAACTTCAATATAGATTTCTATCAGCATTCTTGATGTTTTTGGTTTTTTTGTCCCCCAAAGGATTTAAAAATACTGACAAGATGACAAAGGGAAGACTTAGTTCTAATCTAGAGCGTTTCTTGCCTTTATGTGGCAGGCTAGCTTTTGGAGAAAGGGCTTAGGAAGAACCAGAAAGGGCAGAATTTGTTGACACAAAATACTGTAATAACTTCTGCACTTGACCCTCTTTCTCTGTGTTCTATGGTGGGGTTCAGGAGTGGGACTGGACGGAGGAAATGACAAAGACTGGGAAGCCAATGCTTGCAAAATCCACATTATCAAGCAGACCGGGAAAGTGAAGGCTCTGGATGAAGAGGTTCACAGTAAGTATCTGCCTTTCCTCCTTTCCTCACCTGTTTCACCCACAAACACGAATCTCCAGAGGTGTAAACGCCCAGGGATGAAGAGCCTAGTGACCCTGTGGTTGTTGGTGTGAAGTTGCAGACAAATCCTGATTTTTCCAAGACATGATTTGCAGCCTGCTAAAACAAAATAGACCTGAAATACATCGTGGGAAACAGACAGGAAAAACTTCAAAACAAACAACCAAAAAGGTCCTTGAACTGGGGATAGAGGAATTAGCAGGAGATAATTATCAAGACCTAGATCTTGGGCAGAAGGAGAAATGCTGTAGGAACCTCTTCCTACTCCCTGTAGGAATCTCTTTCTGTCTCCTTTATTTAAACCTTAATTCATTAAATCTGAGCTCAATGCAAAGAGGCACAAAGCTGTTGAGAGTGGAACAGAGGCTGTCTGAGGGCGGGGAGATCCTTTTCAGAGCATTCAGGATCTCAAGCTTCACATCCAGAAGCTGCTGCGTTGGTGAAATCTGAGTCTTTTTAGCCCATTCTTGTGTTCACCTGAGGCATGGAGTGCTGAGTGTCCCAGAGGGAGGTGGGGCAGTCTAATCTCAGTGTAAGCCAGGAGCCAGAAGGCCCAGATGAGGTGGGGTGAGTGGTACAGAAACGGGAGATGGACAGAGGATCTCTGCAGGGAGGTTTGCCTCTTCAAGAAAACGTCAGGATACACAGTTTCAAAGAAATAGAGAAGTAAAAGGAGTATTTTTTCCCAAATAAATATTTTTTCGTAGAGAAATATCCATGCTCATGGTAGACTTTGGAGAGACAGGGGTTAGGGATGCATGAATGGCCATGGAGGTGTGCAGGATGGCAATGAGCACCCCTGAGGGACAGCCCAGGCTTGGGTTCTTCCTTAAAGGTTGCTATTTGTTTTGGCAGAATGAGGAATGCAGGGCTGTTTTCTGTGTGCATCTGCCCTGAAAGCCCTCGGGGTTTTGGTTGGCCTTTGATGATCCCAAAGGTCTTTTCCAGCGTGGATTCTGTGTCCTGTGGGACGTGCTGGCCTGTCAGCATTGCTGTCCCGCAGCCCCCGGGGCCTGGTGGGACTCCCGGGCTGAGCCGGGGTGAGGACAGCCCCTCAGGATTCAAACTTTGTGCTGCAGAGCAGCAGGACATGGACCTGGACATCGAGTTCGACGTGCACCTGGGCATCGCCCACACGCGCTGGGCCACGCACGGCGAGCCCAAGCCCGTGAACAGCCACCCGCAGCGCTCGGACAAGAACAACGGTGGGTGCCTGGCGGGGCCGGGGGGGCTGCTGCTTCAGTGTGTGCTGGGAGAGCTGCTGCTTCTCTCTGTGGTGCTTCTCTGTGTGCCCAGAGAGCTGCTGGATGGGGGCACTGGGTTCATTCGGGCCGTGGTGCTGAGCCCAGGGCTTGGGCTCGGGTTCCAGGCACGGGGAGCGTTCCCACAGTGAAGGATCCCCACAGGGAGGGATCCCCACAGAGAGTGGTCCCACAGTGAAGGATCCCCACAGAGAGTGTTCCCACAGGGAGGGATCCCCACAGGGAGGGATCCCCACAGGGAGGGATCCCCACAGTGAAGGATTCCCACAGAGAGTGTTCCCACAGGGAGGGATACCCATGGGGAGTGGTCCCCATAGTGAAGGATACCCACAGAGAGTGTTCCCACAGGGAGGGATACCCACGGGGAGTGGTCCCCATAGTGGGGGATCCCCACAGTGTTCCCACAGGGAGTGTTCCCACAGTGAAGGATCCCCATGGGGAGTGTTCCCCATAGTGGGGGATCCCCACGGGGAGTGGTCCCCACAATACGGGGGTCCCAGGAAGGGTTTATGTGGGTGCCCAGTGCTTGCATGGGTGCCCAGGGCTTGCATGGGTGCCCACGGCTTGCATGGGTGCGTGGGCACAGAGCAAGGAGAAGACAGAAGGAAATGGGATGGTGAGAATTTTCATGGCTCTTCTCTGGAATGGAATTGTGGAAGCTTTCTTCCCCCCCAATCCCTGCTGTAGGGAAGGGGGTTGGTGTGCCAGGGTGGGGCTGGCATGGGGCTGAGCAGGGCCTTTCCTCTGTCCCCAGAGTTCATCGTCATCCACAACGGCATCATCACCAACTACAAGGACCTGCAGAAATTCCTGGTGAGTGACCCCTGGGGGGTGAGACCCTCCCTCCTTTCCCACTCCCCTTGGCTCTCACAGCCTGCCCAGCTCACTCCCCCCATTGCATTCTCACTCTCTTTTCCCCATTTACATTCCCCACTCACCCATTCCTTCACTCACATCTCCACTCACTCCTCACTCATCTCTCAATGATTTCCCCGCTCACAATCACCTCTCACCCCCATTCATGCTCCTCCACTCAGGTTTTTGTACTCCCACCTGTATTTGCACTCACAGACTCTCCTACTCTGTGAGTACATTTACATTCCCCATGCCCTCCCCACCTCACTCCCACTCCCCACATTCCTCCACTCATATCCTGACATTCACACTCACCACCCTGCTCACACCCCACAACTTCCACTCCCTCCTCATTCCCCACTCCTCCCTTTGAGTTTTGAGACACCCTTTGAAAGTTTGAGACTTTCCCTCTCAAACCCGTTCCCTGTGTCCCTCACATCCTCACAGTCACTCCTTTTCTCTCACAGTTACTCCTTTTCTCTCACACTCACCCCTTAACTCTCACTCACTGCCCTCTCCCCGTCTCCTCATACTCTTGCAACTTAAAAGGCAGGGAGGATGGAAGGAAAGTGTGAGGAGAGGAGAGAAAGAAGAAAATGGAAAGGCAGGAGAGTAAAAGGAAGAGGAAAAGCAGAGTGAAGGATGGGGAGAGAAGAAGCTGCAGTATGGAAGGGTGAAAGGAAAGGTGAGAAGGAAAAGGAAAGGTGAGGGAGGAAGGCAGGAACAGAGAAAAGGAAAAGCATGAAAAAAAGGGAAGCAAATGTTTAAAGGCAAGGTGAAGGACAGGGAGCAGTAAAAATGAAGAAAGGAAAGGTGGAAAGGGAGGCTGGCGACCCACCGGGGCTGTCCCTGCAGGAGAGCAAGGGCTACGACTTCGAGTCGGAGACGGACACGGAGAGCATCGTCAAGCTGGTCAAGTACATGTACGACAACCGCGACAGCGACGACATCAGCTTCTCCACGCTGGTGGAGAGGGTGATCCAGCAGCTGGTGAGGCTGGGGGCACGGCGGGAGGGCAGCTGGGCACGGGCACCGTGGGACACACCCCCCCAGAAACACCCCCTGCGCCCCAGAGTGCTGCTTCCAGAGTCTGTGCTGCTTCCAGTCCTTCCCAGGGCTCCAGCAATCCTTCCTGGGAGAGTCTGTGCTGCTTCCAGTCCTTCCCAGAGCTCCAGCAATCCTGGCAGAGTCTGTGCTGCTTCCAGTCCTTCCCAGAGCTCTGGTCTGGGAGAGTCTGTGCTGCTTCCAGTCCTTCCCAGAGCTCCAGCAATCCTTCCTGGGAGAGTCTGTGCTGCTTACAGTCCTTCCCAGAGCTCCAGCAATTCCTCCTGGGAGAGTCTGTGCTGCTTCCAGTCCTTCCCAGAGCTCCAGCAATTCCTCCTGGGAGAGTCTGTGCTGCTTCCAGTCCTTCCCAGGGCTCCAGCATCCAGGGATTGCTGCTGACCCCTGGTGGGAGCTGCTCTGCCTCCAGAGCCTGGCTGTGTGCTCTCCTGTCTCCCCACAGCACTCAGCTGGGTTTTCACTGGTTTTCACAGCCAGGAGCTCCTGGTGTTGGTGGGCTGTGGCACCTCAGCTGAGCAAAACCCCTCAAGTTTCGGTGCTGCTTTTAGCAGATCTTTGCCTCTGCAGCTCCCCTTGCCGGAGCCCGAGTTAAGCAGGAGCCACTTGGACAACCAAGGGAGTCTGAGTGTCTCTCTGGGGTTCAGGAGGCTCGTTCAGTGGTTGAGGATGTGCTGCCAGGCTCAGGGCAGGGACGTCCTTCAGGATGGGAGCTATGGGCAGTTCTGGAAACATCTGTGAAACCTCTTGGGTGTCTCTTCTGTGTCCACAGGAGCAGTTTCTGTGCTGGGAACACTGGAACAGTGCCTGGGCCTTGGCTGAAGGGATAAAGTTTGTTTCTCTTGTTGCAGGAAGGTGCTTTTGCCCTTGTGTTCAAGAGTGTTCATTACCCTGGGCAGGCGGTTGGGACCAGGTGAGTGCTGCCATGGGAAGGAACATCCTTGCACCCTGCCTGGCACTTGTTTTTGTACCCCCAGGTTAGAAACAGAGTAGAGATCGTTCTCATCACATTGTATGTGCTGGGGAGAGGGTGCTTGTTATTTTTAATTTCCTTTCCCTTGTTTTCCATCTATCATAACAGAAAGTTCCCAGAATTATTTTGGAAATTTCTTCCTGACCATCTGTACCAGACCTGGTCTAGAACAGCTTCGTTTTGGTATCCTCTGATCTCAAAGGAGACGTTTTTACCTTTTCCTTTGTGCTTGCCCTTGTGGCAGCACTTTGATGAGTCCTCCACTTGGTCTGGAGTTTGGGCCAGCCTTGTGCTCAGGTTTTCTGTCCCACTTTTAAGCACCAGCATCAGCTGGGGTTGAACTCCAGTGCCAAAAGCAGTGTGTGGGTGTGTGCAGTGAGGAGCAGTCCCTGGTGCAGGCGTGCAGTGACTCCAGACAAATTTCTCTAACCGTGGTGCAGGTTCCTCACCTGCTGGTGTTCTTCATCCCGCCGTTCTTTCTGTGTTTGCAGCAGCTGCTCTGGGAGGCTCTGGCTGTGCTGGTGCAGCTGAGGGGGCAGAAGGCCTGGGTGGGGTGTGGGGGTGTCCCCAGGTGCTGAGCTGTCCCTGTGTCCCTGCAGGAGAGGCAGCCCCCTGCTCATCGGCGTGCGCAGCGAGCACAAGCTCTCCACTGACCACATCCCCATCCTGTACCGCACAGGTGAGTGGGGACAGCCCCAAACCTAACCCTAAAACTAACCCCAAA